AAAAAGCAAACCAAGATTGCTGCCGTTATATAACAAAATGTTAAAAAAAATCCATAAAAATACTCTAATTTTAAAAAGTATTTTACTCAATATTCATAGTTTTCAGTCATGTGACTGGCTCAAAGACCTGGCTGGCAAAACATCCTGTCAATTTTCTATCTGTTCAAATCCAAAAATATTTTGATCATCTCTCAAAAGAATAAAATAAAGATATGTGAACAAAATGCAAGTTTTGGCCATTAGCAATCCATATAAAGCACCAGCCGCAATATTTCAATCACTAAAAACAGCGTGACATTCTAAAACGTTTAATATGAAAACACAAAGTGCCTTTAAAATGATGCATACTTTATACAAGCAAGCAGATGAGCCCGCAATATGATGCACTAAATGGTTGTTTTCTTTATAACGGTTTTCTATGGGAAAACATTTAATATTAAACTTTGCGCATTGCGTTTATATTCTAGATTCATCTGCTTGCCTGTACAAAGTATGCATCATCAATAAGGTGTATACTGAATTTAGCCTTTAAATATTGCTGTCTTAATGCAAACCTCGTAAAAAAACAACTGTCGGTCAGTGGATGAAAGCCTTGTTTTGCCCTCCATGTGGGCGTTCCTGTAAGGGTGTGCTGTCATGTGGAAACTATGAATTGTAGTGTGTATTTTAAATTGTATTAGAATAGTTTTAGCTTAGCCACATGCTAACACCAGACTCGACTGAAATCAATTATGAGTCGCGTGTCCAGTGTATATTTGTATGATCCATAGAGTTTCTGCCTTCCACAATCTTCCAAATCTGTTCAAATCTGAAAGGCAGTTCACTAGGTTTTGAAAAAGGGAAAATATACACTATTTTAATTCAGATGAAGATGTTTGATACATACAGGGCAAAATCTTTCACAAAAATGCATGCCACAACATATATTCACTTATTTCGTTATTAATCTGGCTCCCATATGTAGGCTATAAGCTAAAGTTGATTTAAAATGAATAAACATGTTGAATTATTAACATAAGACACTAATGCATGCAATGCTATGAAGTATTACATGCAGATTTGTTAGTGCTAAGTTGCTTATGTTAACGCTATGATTTTGTGTTAAGCCTGCATGCACTCAGTTGGCTTGAGGATGGCTTAAATTACTGAGTAATTTTCATTTTTGGGTGAACTATCCCTTTAAGAGACTCGCTGTTTAAAAGTCGGTCATACAGAAACTAAAACTAATCAATAACCTCATTTGAATGCCATTATTTAATATAGCCTAGTTTTTAATAGGCTCTTATATAAATTGTTAGCTTTAAGCAAAGACAATTTTTGCCATGACATTTTACTAGCAGTGTCATTATAGTATTATTTATGTCATCTACTTAAGTGTAAAATTTAGCAGGCAGTTAAAGTCACATTTCAGTCCCTTAGTGGAAATCCCCTTAAAGTACCATATTGTACTGTTAGGGTGAGGTGATAATCATATTTATTGTTTGTGTCATTAGCATTTAGCTTTTGAACATTCTTTTTGTCCTTTTGCAGAACAATTAAGTGTACTTTTCATAAAGAATTCGATTTTGTGGGCTCATCCATGTAAACTGTTTCCTGAAGTTGTCAAATAAAGTGTTGATAGATATATCTAACTGATATAGCCATCAAAAGACTAGCTATTTAAATATTGCTACAATTCTATTTTATGATATCTTATGATTCCATTTTCAATACCACCCATGCTGTCTATACTAAAAGCAGCAGATCATCTCTAATACTCTCTTAAATACCCATGTCGTAAAAATCAGGGCATTTGTGTCTAATTTGAATTAGCATTAGCATTACATATTTTAAAAACACGACTAAATAGGTCATTTACATATGAAAAAATCGAAGTGGCACTAAAATGGACCTAAATACCTGGCAAAGCACCAAAAGCACTGGTTAATCCCCATCAACGTGATTACCGCATATTGGGGAACAGAAGGGCAGACTAGTTCCCTGTGTAATCTAAAAATGATCCAAATGTCACATCTCCCTGTTGATAAGACCAGCACATGCTGGTTAGGTATGTTTTGATGCATGACAGCTGGTTTGAGCTGGTCCTTAGTGGTTCTGAGCAGGAGCTAGTTGCTTAGAACCAGTTTAGGACCAGCACATGACCAGCTTAAACCAGCTCAAACCAGCTGCCATGCTTCAAAATATACCTTACCAGCATATGCTGTTTTTGTTTTTCAACAGAGCTGTCAGACCATATATGCATATTTTCCTCGTTCACGGGTAATGCACCAAACGTCGTCCTCGACTAACGAAGCAGCTCTAGAATAGCTGGTACAATAAAACATCTAACATGGTAAATACTAATAACTATATATTTTTTTATTACATAAAAGTAAGACAATTGCATGTCTGTATCTGATGGTGTTTGTAAAAAGTGCACAACCTGATGAATTGCACACCTGCACTGATAAGAGATAAAGATAGTTAAGCGTGTTTTGTTGCACAGTTTTTGACCTGACCTTTACCGAAAAGTTAGCAAATCCGAGTTGGCACAGCAAAGTCATGCCATGCCGTCTCTCAGCTTCTGTCTCCTCCTTTGTGATCCAGCAGACTGCGTTTGCGTGCCAAAACTTTTCAATCAATGTCCCCCGGAATGGGCCAGAAAGAGCATGTGTATGCTAATTAGCTAAGAGGACTTTTGTATGTTAACAAATGATTTGCATGTTTATTTATGCAAAACAGACATGCTCCACCTCTTAACGCCACACAATAACTGCTTTTATTGCCACGTCAACCTTTTTTGCGTGTCTCACTTGATCAAAGGTCCTGCTGGGATTTTAAGGAGTAAAGACACTGGAAAAAACTTGGGTTGTAAATCTACAACATTCTCAAAATAAGAAACTGGTTTAATTGGATGCTAATATGTTAGAGTACTGATGATAATCAGAGATGTTTAGGTTCATCACGTATGCTAGCATGATAACAGGGCATCCAGAAGCAGATGACTTTCAAAGCATATCTGTTCGTTCTGTTGTGTGTGAAAGAACGCTATTGACTCGAGGATGAATCTTGGCTTTCTTGTGATTGCACTGATGCCAGGCATCCTTCAGTGCGATGAGAGGGAGACCCTTGCTCTTGCAAACAGCCTCTGAGAACAGTGAACGCGTGAATGGGTTTTTCAGGCACACCTCGCAGAGGGTGTATGGAATGCACAGCACTCGCACCCTAAAATGGCCGAAACAACGCCATTTTGTTTTCCCTCTATTTTGCTGTGAGGAATAGCAGAATCAGCTTTGTTAAAGCTACAGGAGACAGCTGGGGAAGCCATGTTTTACATCGTCTGTTTACCTCAAAAGCGTAGCTTACGCAATGTTGTCTTGTTGGAATGAGCTCAGTTTTTGGCAAAACGGGCGCAAATTCCTGGCAAAGGATCAAGACTTTTTTTCTTCATGATCCAATGCCAGCCTCGCTAGAATGAGTGAGTAATTTCTTTGGCTTTCAAAATTAGCGCTTCCCTTTTAGCCTGCATCCTGGTTCAACTCCTCTCAGTTTCCTCGGTTTTTCATGTTCGTTTTTCCGACTCAAATAAGCGCCACTGACTCGAGTCTGGAGAACACACATGCCAAGCTTTCAACTACTGTTGTTTTCCTGCAACTACATAGAAATAAGTAGCTCTGTGATCTATGACAGAACCATTCTGATGGTGTGACTGTATGACTGAAGTCAGGCGGATGATGCTTTAACAAACAGTGGCACCAAATTAGACTTTTTTTGGCACCTTGATTTACAGAATACAATATTAAACCAAGCGGCATCACAAACAAATGCTGCACAAGGTTTTCTCATGACTAACTTCACTTTTAATTTTTAAAATAACTTTAACCAGCTGGTGTCAAGCTGAGTTTAGTGGATGTATGAAGTTGGTTATCTTCAAATTCACATATGGTGTCGTATATGTAATCTTTATATGTAATTTAGTCAATTAGCATGTAATTCAGCTGTTTTAAAATATAGGCCTGCTTTTAAGATTTCAAGTACACTACGAGTGCACATTTAGTACAACTAAGCACACTCCTTTTTCACAAGGGTAAATGTACGTGTGCACATTAAAACGCTCGCTCAAACTGTTATGTGGAGTCCAGCTACAACAAAGTTTGACTGTATGATTGTGTTAACCAGTGTCTCTCTCTCTCGCCGCAGGAATCCAGCGGACTGCTGTCTGGCTGGTTGACATCTGTTCTGCTGTCCTTGGGGCTGAGGTAGTAGATTGAATAGTTGTGGAGCCCTGCGCTCTCTCACTGAGATAACTATACAATCTACTGTCTTTCCTAAGGCGACAGCCAAATCATCCACAAACAACATGGACTCATTTGAAAAAGTGTCTGCATTCCTCCATTGAGTTGGAAAGGATATTTGCTCACATTACAGAAGTAAAATGGGCTGGGATTGACGTGTCACGTTAACATCATACATACGCAAGCGTGTCAGGCGATGGGACTGTCCTTTGGTGTCCTGACAGGGTGAGGTAGTAGGTTGTATAGTTTGGTGGGAGGGATCAAACCCTGTTCAGGTGATAACTATACAGTCTATTGCCTTCCTTGTTGTACCAGCTATCTGTCTGCTAGTGGAAATTCCCTGGAGTTTAAATATCGCTTAAACCCTATGCCTGCTTCACACCACATGAACTTTGTATATGTAAGCAGAGTGTTTATTTCTGCACCCATATTTACAGGTTACAGCATTCGCACTGCCTGCATAAACAGAGCAGTGTAGCATGAGTAATTCACTAAAGTCGGTCTACAAAAAATACTTTTATGAAACAGCAAAGTAATGGAGCAAACTCCGCAAAAAACATGCTTTATTCAGTAAATCTGACTGAATCAAGAAGAGTTAATAAATAAATAAATAAAAGGAATTTCGGTGCATTTAAATAATCAGAAATGACAGTAAAGACTTTTATAATATTATAAAAGATTTCTATCATGAATTAGAACTTTCTATGTATCTGAGAATCCTGAATCATTGTTTCCACAAAAAAAAAAAAAGTTTCGAACAATTTTCATTCAGAAATTTTCACAATTAATTACAAAGAAAAGGCAAGTGACATCGAATTAAAGTGAAATGTTGAAAAGGAAAGACTGAAATAGAATTTTCTTGTCAAATGTCCTCCAATAATCTTTGTTTTATTTACAACTTTTATTATTATTATTTTTACAGTGATTGATAATAATCATTAATGCTTCTTGAGCAGCAGATCAGCATATTATGATGATTTCTGGAGGATCATGTGACACTGAAGACTGGAGTAATGATGCTGAAAATTCAGCTTTGATCACAGCAATAAATTACATTTTACTATTAATAAAATACATTCATATATTCTGTTTTCAACTCTTTTTTTTAATGAAATAAACGTGTCCTTTGTTAGCATAAGAGACTTGAATGAAATTAAAAAATCTCGCTGACCTCAAATTTGGAATGGTAGTGTAGATTTAATGATGATCAAGTCTGTAATAGTTCTCACTCCACCAAACATCTGAGAGGTTATGGTCATTCATTAAAGGAAATGCTCAGTGCAGTAAGCTAGAAATCACTTTGCTGTACAGCACAATGAGACTCTTGCGGCTTTGTGTGTGTGTGTGCATTGTGAAATAGGGCTTACACTTTACCTAACAAGCCCGAACAACATCCATTCCTCTGCTGCAAGCTAAACATGCTGATCTGGTATATGAAGAGACAAATCAGATTAAAAGAGATTTACTAAACTCAGATTTATGGCTTAATCAATGATTTAGCATTTCTGTTGGCTTGCGATCAAACAGGATTTTCACACATAACAAGAAATTCATTTTCAGTCAGACAATGCATGTTGGCCTTGTTCAGAGAATGTAAAAAATATATAGAACAGCACAATATGCATAATGTGTTTTTGTTCTATGAATAAAATACAGTTTTATTTAACACTCTTTTGTCTTTTTGATTTTATTTTAATTTTTAAGTTGATTTGGAGCAGTATACATATATTAACAGTTATCTTGTCTTGCTTGACAAAAGTTAAACAGTTTGTGCTGCTGTATGTATTCCTTTGTTGTGCAATCTTTATAAAATCATATAAAAAAAACAAATTGAATAAACACGTATTATTTTGTAGGCATGTCGTTTAAGGAGCTTTTGCATAAAGGATCAGAGCTTTAGAAAATATGATTTTATTAGTGAAAATTATATTTGCCAATAAAGTATAGCTTATGAGAGGATTCTTTGATATTTACAGTAAACCTTTCAAAGTGTGTAGCTAAAATCTCAAAACAGACTAGACCGTAGTATGGAAACAAGCTGACATACCATGAACTTTGACCAAAATTTGATATAATACGTCTTAATATATAACTTTTTTTTTTTTTATAGAACACAATATATGCATAATAAATTTTATACAACAATGGCATGTCAATACTGTGAAGCTAATTCAAGCAAAACTCTTCCATCAACACTCTCTAATAAGGTTAGTCATATACTATATTTGATAGCTTGTTACCATAAACATCCATCCAGTTTTTTTTGTTTTTTTTCACAAAGTTGGTTGGCAACAAATGTAACCGTGTATAAATATTAACATGTAAACAAAACTCGTCAAGTTAGACTTTGATCTAAAGCCCTGCGTGTTACAGCCTTTATCTGAACACATGAACCATGTCAACAAAATTACAGTGGCATCCAGTAACACTAACCACACAATCAAGTATAAAGTTTAGAGACAAACTTGTTCAAATTAAATAAAATGAAACTCTCTGTAGTCAAATATTTGAGAATATTATAATGGTCACTATGAGGTAACAGTTGCAATTGCTGTATTAGCTCTTTTTTGCCCTTTCCATTATAAGATAGTCAGCCTCATTTGAGTTTTCAAATCAGCAATTGAGTGTCTTCTCAATTTACAGTAAAATAAATAATAAATAAAATAAAATAAAAAAAAATCTGTGGAAAGGGCATGTATTGTATTACAAAATATGATAAAATATGATAAAATATGGATTTTCTCAGATGTTAAGGCCATGCTTTTACACTATCCATACATACAGTATTCTGCCAAAAAAAAGGTCAATTAACCTACAATTGAGTGTCTTCTCAATTTACAGTAAAATAAATAATAAATAAAATAAAATAAAAAAAAAACGAATAAAAATCCAATTTGATTCTTCACAGTGACCTCTGGGAATCTCCTGTTACTATTTTACACCATAAATGAGACAGTTTGTATTTATATAAAACAATATTTTACTGTGGAAAGAGCATGTATTGTATTACAAAATATGATAAAATATTATAAAATATGGATTTTCTCAGATGTTAAGGCCATGCTTTTACACTATCCATACATACAGTATTCTGCCAAAAAAAAGGTCAATTAACCTGCTTGGTCATATTTGAGAGACAATTTCCAAGATCTCTAAATTATCAACATGATTAAAACTTTGCTGAAAAACCTGTTGAGCACAACCTGCTACATGCCTTCTGTCTTCTGGTTGAGAGTTTATACATTTTTAGCAAGTAAAAGGCCTTTTTTATAAGAAATATATATAAATAGGCCTACTATAGTATCATTGTACACGCGTTGACCTTAAGTAAATGTAAGAATAACTTTGATAATGTTAGTAATATTTCAAGATGAAAACTTTCTGGACTGAGGTTTACGATTACCCATACTTTTTTTTTTTTTTTTGAAAAATCATGTTAAAATGTGAATATCAAATATAATCATCAGGCTTTTGAGGAACTTTTTTTTTTGTTCATTCATATTTGTTCATCATCATTGTATTGCATTTTATTATTTGCCTTCCACAATAAATACTACATAGCTATGAACCATAAAAGCCTGATGTATCAAATATGATTAGATTTTTTTCTGACTATTAATTCTCATGTCGCTTTACAGAGTTAATATGTTTTCACTAGCATGCCTGCTCTCCTTCTATTTTTAGGACGACTAGCAGTTTTAAAGCTTGTGGCGCCCTCTAATTGTCATACAGCTTCACGGCTCCTGAAGACTGAAGCTTTTTAGAAGCTTTTCATGTGGATATTGTAGGATATCTACAGTATCAGTTTCCAACATACCGTCACTAAAAAGATCCATTCAGAATTGTATTACAGTGAAATTATGATTGTAGTTTTTCTGCCTGATTCATGTGCCAGTGTTAGAGGGTAATGTAGTTTGATGGCCAGTATTAGGTTCTCCAGGCTGGGATCTCCATGAGGAACTTGAGAAATCTCTTTGTCCTCTCCAGAACCGTACATACCGTCTCCAGATCTCCAGGTAAGCCTCCCTGATCTTTGTAATACGGAGGGCGTAGACCACAGGATTCACCGCTGAGTTGGCATGAGAGAGGAGTACTCCTGTGTAGAAAGCGATCTGGGGGACGCCTTGAGGACCTGCTGAAATAATTATACAATTCATGAGATGCAGAGGCATCCAACATGCTGCAAACAGCAGGAGAACCAGAGCCAGAGAACGTGCCAGCCTCATCTCCTTGATTAGAAAAGCCCTTAGTTTAGATTCAGCAGGCGCTGAAGTCTGGTCTTCCCTCCGGAGGCGTTTGCGCAGACTGTAGAAGACCAGAGCGTAAAGAAGAATCATGGCTGCCAAGGGGAGTAGGATGCAGCCCAAGTAGTTGAAGTAGACCATATAAGGCAGAGAGAAGACAGCTAAGAAGGTGCAGTTGATATTGGAAGAGTTGAGTAGGGAGGACTGGGGACCACCATTATGCCAACCAAAAAGAGGGGTGAAACCCAGCAGACAAGATATCAACCAACACAGGACCACTGCAGTCCAGGAGCGCTGCTCGGTGGCGATCTCTTTATACCTGCAATCACAGAGCATGCTAACTGTTGGTTAATTGGACGGCTGGACCTACCTTTGTCAAAAAGAAGTAACACAGTTTTAAAAGAGTACTTAATATGAAAATAATATATTTTAGTGTGAACTGACTGTAATGTTTTCAGCCGCTTAAGTTTTCAGCCTAATTTAAATGTATAAATTTAGTTTAAAATTATAGGAAATGCAATTAGCTGGACTTTAGAGTGCTTGTTTGACCCACTCAAATATATTTGCAATTCCACATTTGTAATAATGAGTTGCAATTTAACAAAGTTCATGTGGGTCCAGCTGGTCGATGGGGCCTGCGCAAATATGACAGAAGTTGCCATCGAATGCGATGAAGAAGTTGTAGTATCTTCTGGTGCGTCTTCGACGATGGCAGTGTGGAGGAGAAGATTCTGAGGCAATTGTCGCTCTCGCCGCATTTATGGCCCTGTCCCAAATCGCACCCTAAACCCTAGCGGTCTTCCTCTGAGTCCACACTTTCGTGACGTAATGCCACTTTGACTGTCGGATAGAAGTCTGTTGCAAGTCTCATGGACTTAATAGACACGAGCATGCGGTGGCCGTTGTAAGTCCGCAAGACCACAAGTGCACATGAAGTGTGCCATTTGGGACAGGTCCTATACTGCCCGCGAGCTTGACAGTGTTTGCATGCAATTTGCTTGAGTAGTGACAATTGGCCAGTTTATTGGCATTATCTTATAAGGCTTCAGGAAACTGGAGAAGGGGAGGAGTTCCCACAGCGATTCTCGTAATGTAGCGTGAACTCTCGATAGGGAACAAAACTAATCCTCAGTGGCTCTGATGTCTGGAAAAAAATTAAGACTTTTTGTTCACTTGTACATCCAATTACACCTGCATTGCTTATGAGACATTGGTAGATATGTAGGTAGAATTCACATTCGACCACTCCAGACACGTCGAAGCACCCGCCATCTCATGGTCTATATGTCGTCACTCACAATAAAAATCAATGAGTTTCAAGATGCAACAACATTGCGCAGCATCTGGTTATAAAAACGCATACATTTAAATTCTTGAAGAAACTGGATAAACTTTCACAGGTAAGAATGTGTTGGTTTGTGTTTTTAATATGTATTAACTCAATATTACAGGTTTTTAAACTAAAGTACCTTTTAAATGCCTTGTTAGCTAACAGCTTCGTCTTGTTGTATTGTGTTAGTTTAACAAAAGCATCTTCTGAAGTCTACTGAAGATATAGATATTCATACATGCGTATAACTACAGTTGCAATGCAGATGCAGCGGCATTGCTCTCGGATATTCATGGACTGGCTTTGACATTCCAAGATAGCGGATGGCTTACATATAGCGGTCCATAGAAACAGCCGCTAATAGGGGATCTACAGTAGCTACCAAAGTCCCTTTAAGGCAA